ATAGAACCCGTAAAAAAAGTTTCAGCTAAATCAAAAATGGGTCGGTCATTTTTTGTTCAATTTTGTACGGTTTGTAAAAGATTGACCCATATACATATACATATTTATGTTATAACGTTAAAAACGTCTAATAAAAACAATAATTCCAAGAGCTTAATAATTATTATTTTTGATATCTCTGTGGAGCACAGCAAATGTATTTAATAAATAAAGTTACGCAAAAATTATAAGTTTACATTAAAATTTATTATTTAGACAGATTAACAACTCTATGTAATTTAAGATATTTTAACTTATTTTTCTTTTGGGATGATTTTTAATTTTTTTAAACACATTTATTTTGCTACTCTGAATAATTAAACTTTATTATTATAAGACGTTTCAGCAAACCAAAATTGACAATTCACAAACAGCTGAGTATTATTTATAGACTATAAATTACTATAACTTATAGTACCTTCATTATGGCACACTGCATGACTACAAAATCTTACAGACATTAGTGACCAATAAATTGAAAAAAGTAAAATAGTAGTAGTGATATAAGGCCGGTTTTAAGACAGGAGCTCCGAGGGGGGCGCGAGGGATGACGTCACAGAAGGAGGGGTGACGTTACATGGAGGGGAGGGGGTATGACGTCACTATGACGTCACGCGGGGTAGGAAGGGGTATGACGTCACGCGGGGGCGTGGCTCTGACGTCACAGGATTTGACGTCACGCGGGCAATATGGCGACTTCAAGGTATGTACTATTTACTATATGCATGGTATATACTCGTATTTCTTACTGTGACGTCACGCGGGGAGGGAAGGGGGATGGCGTCATAGGGAAAGTGGTATTGATGTCACGCGGGGAAGGGGTGATGAAGTCACAGGATATGCCGTCACGCGGGGGTGGCTCTGACGTCACAGGATATGACGTCACGCGGGGGTGTGGCTCTGACGTCACAGAATATGACGTCACGCGGGAGGCGTGGCTCTTACGTCACAGGATATGACGTCACGCGGGGCACTGCAAGATATGACGGCACGCGGCGGAGGACCCCTTTTATGGCAACTTCACAC